TCCCTATATAGGTACTTTAAGGCCTGAGTAGCTACTATAAAGGTACATGGAGCCTTTGGGCTAAGGGTCTAAGTAGTCCTTATTTATGGTTTTGGGTACCCATAAAGGCCCCAAAGTCCTTAAATAATGGGTACTTGGACCCTTAGGGTTAGGTTTAGGGTTTAGGGTCAACATTTCATGTCTATTCCGTCTTGGGTTTAAGCATAGATGAAAAAGGCTACCCGGATAGGACAAAATTGTGAAGACCACGACCCCCAAGCTGCTTGGAGATTCAATGGTAGGTATAAGTAGGGTTACAACCGCCCTAATACTGTTGATGATATAAACCCTGCATTGCCTTAGGTACCCTAAGCTATTGGAATCATTATGGCATTTTCCTAATTAGGGGCAATGCAGGATTTATATCATCAACCGTATGGGTTAATTTATAAGTCCAGTTACCCTACTCATAACCCCACCATCATCCCCAAGCTGCTAGGAAGCAGGAGCAGGTGAGGGCGTTGGCGCTTTCAGCATGGTTTTGGGATTTAAACAGCTTGTAAGGGGGTTGATAGATTTAGGGTTTAGGGACTTTTGAGGGCAGTGTATAGATCAGGTCTTAGGGACTTTAAAGGAGTTTATAATCTTTTTAACTGCCACGGCCGCATGCATCGATTCTGAGGCTCTGCACCAGAGATCGGAGGGTCCGAAAGCTTTCCATGGAAGTCTGCAGAAAGGACATGCGAGGTGTCGCAGCTTCCCGATTGGTCCAGTTTTGCAGCGTCTGTGCAATTTTCCAGTGCCCGTTCGACTTCGCAGAATCCAGAGCTCCGCGGCCGTTGCTGTCACAGAGATTCCGGTCAGCACCCCATGTCAAGAGCAGCGTCACGTTGTCGTCTGAGCCGTGGATAGCAGAGTACATCAGCGCTGTCTTGCCACTCCTGGGTTTCTTGCTAAGGGATCTATTTTTAAGTTACCAAAAGAAAGGAAACCATATTAATCCTAAACTCTAAACCCTAAAGGGTTTAGGGTTTAGGGCATATTAATTACTCTAGATCCCTATTATGGTAACTTGAACTGACAAGAGCCCAGACTCTGGTTCCTTGCATCAGGATTGGCCTTGGCATGCAACAGACATCGCACACAGAAGCTCTGCTTGTTTGCAGCAGCGCAGATGAGCGCTGTGTTGCCTTCATTGTCAGTCAGCTCTTTATCAGCGCGGGATTTCAGCAGCAATTGCCTGGGATCTTGCTACGGGATTTAGTTTCAGTTACCATAATAGGGATCTATAGTGACTGATATGGTTTCTTTATTATGGGAACTTAAACTTAAAATCGCTTAACAAGAACCCAGTTGCAAGCCGTCGAGGAAGCCGTGCTCAGCAGCGGAGATCAGGGCTGTCTTGCCCAAGCGATTTGCCACATCGATGCCCACATTGGCCTCTAAGAGTAGGCTTACCTTCGATGTCCACAGAGGCGCATGAACAAGTGTAACTTATGTTTGTTGCTAAAGACATATTGTAAAACACAGACCTCATACAACCCTAAACCCTAAACCCTAGTGCGAAGTTCATGGAATTTCAGAACATAACCCTAAAGAACCAGGATCCATAGCGTAAGGACCCCCCCCAACCCTAAACCCAAACCCCAAACTAGGGCACCGCTAACTACGGTTAATGATATACATTCTGCATTCCCCATAATAAGGCATATGCCATAATTCCCATAGTTTAGGGTCCATGAGGCCCTAAGGTAAGGATTTATATCATCAACAGTATCACGACTTCAATAGTACTGCGCCCCTACACCGAAAACCCTAAAATTCAAGCTTCAACCCCAAGCCGGCAACCCCCGAACCCTAAAGCTGAGTTTGACCACTGGTTGCAAGAAGTAGCCGAGTTACCCACATGACCTAAACAGGGACCCTAGTTTAGAGAACTCCCATAAACTACTTTGGGATAGTTATTATGATATACTAGGAACCAAGACCATCAAAAGCAACAAGCAACACTGACCAGCCTAGGCTACGATATCCATCAAGCAGTCTCTTTAATAACCACTGGGTTTATCCTGTACAAGAACTAGGTTCTCCAATAGCCCCTTGATAATAAGTGTACCGTTGTTCCTACTATTTGGTTCTTATATAAGGGATCCAAAACCGAAAAGGGCAAAAGTGTACTACTGTGGAACCTACTTGGAGGTTCATGGGTGGTTCAAAGTGGGGTAAAAAATGGGGTAACTGTAATTATAACCCTTATTAGTGGACTTATACTTATACCTACGCATGAACCTCCAAGTAGACCCTAAATCCTAAAATCCCTTAATATATAGAACCCTAAATGGAACCTTTAAAGGAGCCCTGCTACCCATGAGTTGGTAGGCAGCATGAAACGGAAGTCTCAGTTACAGTTGCCTGAACCCTTGAGAACCTCCGTGAAACCCTAAACCCTAAACCCTAATTTTAGCGCTCCTTGTTATGATTTCTTTACATAAACTCCTTAAGAAAAGTACCCATAGGCCCCTAAGTAGTTCCTTCTTATGGTTTATATTTAGAATCCTATAAGGTAAGACCAAAAAGGAACTACTTAGGGGCCTATGGGTACGTCCTTTGGGGTCCGTAAACCCTAAACCCTAAACCCCAATTTTAGTGCTCCTTATTACATGATTTCCTTATATACATCCTTAAAAAAATTGTACCCTACTTTTAGGGCTCCTTATTATGATTTCCTTGCATCACTCCTTAAAACAATAGGTCCTTTGGGGTCTCCTTAAAACGATATAGTAAGCCCCAAAAAGTTGGAAACCGGATGGAGGACAAATAGTGCTGGGATTCCTTATACATTACTCTTCAGGATTGAGGCTATTGGGTTTCCAACTTTTGGGCTTCTACTATAAACCCTAAACCCCTAGACCCTAGACCCTAGACCCTAAACCCTAAACCCTAAACCCCTTTGCATCACTCCTTAAAACGGTAGGTCCTTTGAGGTCTCAGCGACGATGACGGAGCAGAAGTTGCCCGCGGCAGCTCTCAGGGCCGTGTTGCCCTCCTTGTCGACCTCGGAGTTTGCCAGGAAACGCAAAAGGTTTTGGGGATTTAGGGGATTTGGGTTTAGGGATCTAGGGATGTTTAGGGATTTTTAAGGATTTTTAGGGAAATTTAGGGATTTAAGGGTTGATAAGCTTTAGGTTTCGGTTAACAACCTACCTCTTCTGAGCTCCCTCGTTGCTATTTCCTCTTATTTGGCAGTTTCCGACAATTCGGGGTACCTTCTTTAGAATACGGGAGCCTACTATTTAGGGTACTATATTAGGGTCCCCTATTTTCGGAAACCCCGTTCTATGTCCTGAAGAGGGTAAGGTGTTTGGGGGTGAAGGTAGGCTTTAGGGCTATGGGAGTTTGGGGCTTAACAGCGCAGGGGACCCCACGGGACGTTGGATGGGTGCTCTACCTAAACCCCCAAAGGTAATTAAAATCATGGCCCAACACTGGGAAGCTACCCTAAACCCCAAACCCTGAACCCTAAACCCTAAACGCCAAATCCTGAACCCTAAACCCTATTCTGGCAAGGCGACTACAAGCAGTTTGACGAAGAACGTTTAGAAACCCAATAAGGGGCTTTTTAAGGCCCGTAGGGTGTAGGATTTCTCAAGATGACTGCGAGGTTGGGAGGCCCCGTTTCACACCGAAAACCCAGAACTCTACAGTTTAAACCCTACCTTGACCTATCAAAGACCCACTCTTTTTTGGTAGGTTCCTAAGCCTCGTTATAAGCCCTAATGTGGGATTTATGGGGTTTAGGTTGATCCTAACTTCTGAATCCTTACAGAACCCCTGTAGTAACCCTTATAGAAACCTATAAGAGCTTTGAAACTCTGGATGGTCGTCTTGAAACCCTGAGCCCTAAACCCTCCCCAAATTGCAGATCTTCGTCTGAACCCTCCCACCTTGCTCTCATCTGCTCCTGCCATGAGGAGCAAGCGCACCGCTCCTACTGAATCCGCTTCAGCCGCCACAATAAGCGCCGTCTTACCGTCCTCAGTCTGAACTAACGTAGGGTCTAGGGTCTAGGGGTTTAGGGTTTAGGGGTAAAGGGTTCCTCTACGTGCTCCTCTAAGGGTTCGTCTAGGGCTGAGGGTTTAGCGCTTATGGTTTGGACTCCCAGGTTTCCGATAGGCCTCGTGGGGGTTTCAGCTCTGCCCCATGCTCAGTCTGAAAAACTCTGTTTGTTTTAGGGCTTGGGGGGTGGTGGGGGGTGGGGGGTTGGGGTGGGCTTTAGGATTACCCTTACAGAAACCCTTGTAGATCCCTTTAAGGAACCTTTTGGGGACCCAAATTTAGGGAACTGAGGTTCCCCTAAACCCTAGGGCCTGATGAGGGCATTTGGGGTGTAATCAGGGTTGAAAGCCTGACTCGCTAGGATTCTGCATGCTGATTTCCATATACATGTCTCTGATAAGGTAGGTTGGGCCGGGTTAAGGCGGGGTTTAGGGTCAAGGGACGGGAAGATATTCGTAAACACGATCTACACCGAAACCCCTAAACTCTAATAAACCGTCTAAGCTACAAAACATTTCTCAAAGACCTGCCTAGCATCATGGTTCGCTGCATCGATGGACGCGCTTGCTGCCAAGAGCAAGCCCATCAGGTTCATTCGATTGTTCTCCGACGACAGAATTAAAGCCGTGTTCCTGGGCGTTGTTTATTTTAAGCACTGAAAGGCCTTAAACCCCAAACCCTAAACCCCTAAACCCTATAAACCCTGAACCCTGGACCTAAAGCTCAATTGCACCTTAAGATCTCACGTAGGAAAACAAGGACCCGACTTCCAAAGGCAAGTCTACCAAGGCACCCATCAGTGTCAGTCATGTCCTCAGATGGTTTTAGGGTTTAGGGTTACTCTTAGTTGCTGAGTTCATAAGCACGAAAAAGTGTATACTTTCAGTTCTATAAGGGATCATGATATCCAAAACAGCTTAAAGTGTACTCATTGACTCGTACAGCTACTAAGTACTTACCGAGATCACAGGACAAGAACTGCTTAGTTCAAAGCGGCTAAACCCTAAACCGAACCCTACTCCCTCCGAAACGCTAAAGCCGAAACGCTAAAACCTCATTCCCTTGCCCTACCTGGACCCTTAAAAACCTCTGTTTTTAAGCTTCCTTATATGATTTTCTGAGTCCTTAAAAGACGTAGGGTCCTTTGGGGCCTAGGCAGATCCTAAACGGCCACCAAAGCTCCAAGGCAGCACGGGCTGACAAAAGCGTCTTGAGGATCTGCCCAGAGCGCTGCTCCGACGCTGCAAGGAGAGCCGTTCCTAGGATCTGAAGCACGCCCCGCCCCCCGCTCCCAACTCAACTTAAGGGTTTAGGGTCGGTTTAGGGTTTAGGGTTTAGGGTTCCTAACACAACTTAATAAATTATCAAAACAACGAGGAATAGACACGCTATAAATGCCTCATACGTTGCGTAAGAGCTTAAACTTAAACAAGCTAGTTAATAGGAACCCACTAGTGGCACGTCCTAGCTCTAAACCCCCTTGATTAAGGAATACAGGGTTCAGGGTTTAGGGTTCATGGTTTTAGGGTTTTAGGGTTTAGGGTTCATATTGGGGTTCCCGGTAGAATTTAGGGTGTATTCCGCGGTATTCCTTCATTAGCTAGGATCCCCCCTGCAGCCCCTTAAAAAAAAAGGTACCCTTTTCCTTACCATTTGGTTTAAAATTTATAAGGGAACCCAAACAGGCCCAAAACCCATAAAAAAGGCTATTATTCTACATACTTTTGGGGTCCAGGTAAACCCTTAACTAGTTACCCTTTTCTTAAAAATTAGTAGGTTTTACTTTATATACTAAATAGGGGAACCCAAACCAACAACAGGGCAAACGGGTACTAAGGGGGAACCGAGTTAAGGGGCTGCCCAAATGGTTGGCCAGGTTCGCGTTTGCGCCGGCCTCTTCCCGAAGCCATGCGGTGCTTTGGGGTTTAGGGGTTTTATGGGGTTTGGGGTTTAGGGTTTGGGTTTAGGGTTTTGGGTTTAGGGTTTAGGGTTTAAGGGTTTAAAGGTTTAAAGGTTTAAGGGTTTAAGGGTTTAAGGGTTTAAATTAATATCGGATTTTTTTGAAAGTGCAATAGCCTCTTTCGTCCGCAGAAGCTCGCTCGGTACTGAGCTTACACGTCGGGCGTGGGGGTTTAGGGTTTGGGGATTGGAGTTTGGGGTTTAGGGTTGTGAGGTACTAAACCC